CAGGTTCATTTCGCTTGACGCCCAAAGAGCCGTGGAGCGAGGCCTCTGCGGACATGGCTGAGGGAGCACGCGGAGGGCTGGTGGGAATGGAGCCGCTCCTCATGTGCTCGTGTGTGTCTGTGTCCGAGTGTTTAAGGCGATTCTAGACGATAGGTGGTGCCTCCGGAGCCTGACTGACTGGACGGGAACTGCCTGCCGCCACACCCTGGCCACGCCTCGGTCCCCTGACCTGCCAGCCACACCCTGGCCACGCCTCGGTCCCCTCACCCCCGTTTGCTCTGCCAGCGGGGAGGCTTCGCTTCCTCTGGTAGGAGGAGAAGAGAACGCGGTGCTCTGTGCTGTCAGGGACGGCACAAAGGTGGGGCCTGGGATACTGGATACCGGGCGGGAGTCCCCACAGCCGGCCAGCTCCCGCCCTGTGAGCCCTGGGGGTGAGCTCAGGACTCGCCTCTCAGAGGAGGAAAGCTGAGTGTCCTGGGCCATAGGAGCCAGGGAACTTGATGGCTGCCCTTCAACTGCTCAGGGGAGGGGCCAGGACACCCACAAAGGAGCCCAGGCCAGGCAAACGGCTTTCCCTAAAGTCAAACGGGTTTGTCCCTGGGACCCGGCCCTGGGAGGCCCCGAGGCGCGGATTCTCTTCTCGCTCCAACCTTAGTTTATGGTGCGCGTCCTGGGGATGGTGGGCTTGTCGCTGCCGGCATCTTGCTCGTGCCCCTCCTTCCATCCTGGATCTCGGGGCAAACCTGGGTGCCAGGGTACAGCCGATTCTCAGAGTCCCCTGATGCTGCGACCTTCGCGCGGGGTTCAGGATCTGAAGGAGGGGCCAACACACAAATGAAAATGCTGGACAAGAAATACGAATTTAGAAGGCATGGGGGCCAGGGGGAGCCTCTTTCTTGAAGAGACTCCCTGACTTCTGGCCTGGTCCGCCTTTTATTCCCGTGAATACACATTTGCCCTTTAGCAATGCACACAGGCAGATCCAAGGTGAAGTTTGGTAAACAGTGCAGAGATGATCAGGCTGGGAAACCGCCTCGAGCCTTGCGATCACAGCGGTGTGCTGACTGCAGAGCCCACTGGCCTTCCGGTGTTTCTTCGCTGCTGTTTGCAGCTGACTTCTCAGCCTGCACAGAGCCGGCCGGGCTGCGTAGCCGACGAGGGAGGACAGCAGTGCTGCCTGGATCCGTGTGGCCACTGTGAAGGCGTGCGCAGCCTGCCAGCGGGCGGGCAGAGCGGGGTGGCGGCCATGGCGTGGAGTCCAGAATGTTCTGTGGTCAGACACTGGGTTCCTTTCTCTCTGTACTCTGTTCTTTTCTTGGGATGTAGGTAGAAATATATAATTTTATTAACCTCATATGTGTTTTTAAAAGCCCAACAGACCAACAAGTGAAATGAAATGGTTGTGTGGGGTAGGGTCCAGTGTCTGCAGGGATTGGCTCTGGGCCCCTGGGGAACCCAAATCCCAGGAGGCTCAAGGCCCTGCTATAAAATGGGGACAACATACAGCGGCTCTGCACCCATGACTCCCAGCATTCCACCTGCAGGTGGAAATACTGTTTCCCACACTGGCGGGTTGCTTAGTGGTTAGAGAACCAGCCCATGTACTGAAGTTAGTCAAGGGCACACACCTGGGTTGTAGGTTCGATCCCGGCCCCAGTCAATGTGTCTCTCACATCAATGTTTTTCTCTCTCTCTCTTCTACCCCCTCCCTTCTATTCTCTCCAAAAATCAATGGAAAAAATACCCTCGGGCGAGGATAAAAAGAAAATACTGTTTCCAATAAGTTGGTGGAATCCTCAGCTGGGAAGCCAGGGATACAGAGGGGCGACGGTGTATTGAGAAAGAAAACCTGAGACCACGCGGGCCCGCGCAGCGCAAACCGTGCTGTTCAAAGGCCAGCGGTGCTTTATGAGGGTCGGGAGGTAAACGCAGCCCCTCACCGCTGGGCTGGCTGCTGTCACAAAGCCAGCAGACAGGCACTGGCGAGGGTGTGGAGAGGGGACCCTCGCGCACAGCGCGTGAACGTAAGACGGCGCAGCCGCTGCGGAAAGCAGGTCTGCAGCTCCTCAGAAAGGTAGGTGTGAAGTGACCATCTGTCCTGGGAGGCTCTGAGGATACAGTTGAACGGGCAGAGAGCAGGATGCAGGGACATTGCACCCGAATTCACGGCGGCATTACTCACGGGCGTGGGCGGCAGCCAGTGCGACCGGCAGGCAAGGGGATGAGCTACGTGGCCCATGCACGGGTGGGTATTCAGGCTGACAGAGAGAGAGGGAGAGAGAGAGAAACATCAATGATGAGAGAATCACTCTTTGGCTGCCTCCTGCATGCCCCCCACTGGGGATCGAGCCCGAAACCCTGGCATGTGCCCTGACAGGGAATGGGACCCTGACCTCCTGGCTCAACCACTGAGCCTCGAGGCCAGGCTGTGTCTTGGATCTTGATGGCAGTCTGCAGTCTGCCCTCCCCGTGCAGGGCCGGCGGTGTGTGCCCTCCCCCAGAGGGCTCCCCCTCCCCCCTCCCACGGGGGTGCACCTTCCATGTGGCCTCTGGGGAGCGCACCAAGGCAGGGGCTTTTAAAAAAATATATATTTTTTATTGATTTTTTTACAGAGAGGAAGGGAGAGGGATAGAGAGTCAGAAACATTGATGAGAGAGAAACATCGATCAGCCGCCTCCTGCACACCCCCTACTGGGGATGTGCCCACAACCAAGGCACATGCCCTTGACCGGAATCGAACCTGGGACCCTTCAGTCCGCAGGCCAACGCTCTATCTGCTGAGCCAAACCGGCGAGGGCAAGGCAGGGGCTTTGTGAGAAGGGAAGGGGTCCACCACCCTTTAGGCCCTTCATGTTCTACTTCAAAGTGGATCATGCAAATAGCATGTGGACACATTGTCATGAACAGCACTCAGCCGGGAGACATGTGGAACAGAAGTAGCTGCCTTCCTTCGTAGGCCTGCACCCGTGACGGGACCGCAGCCGCGTGTGCCCTGCACACGGTCCGTGCCCACTCACTCAGCATGGGCACTGCTCGTGGCATTCGATTCAGGAGATCCAGCAGCAGCAGGAAGGGCCCGCCTCCTGGCACCGTCCTCTGGGGAGTTAGCAACAGGCTGTCGCCCACGCTGCCCTCACAGGGGCAGGGCACCTCGCTGACACTCAGAGCCCAGGGTGCGGGACTGCCACGCAGCCTGACCAGGAGGCTCATTAGACCTCTGAGAGGCAGGGAGTGGGCTCCTGAGCTGAGGACTGGGAAGCGCCGTGAACCGGCCTCTCGGGAGGAAGAAGAACCGGTCCTGAGCCTCCCTTCGTGAAGGGGGATGAGTGGCAGTGGGCCCAGCTCCACTTGTGCGTGTGTGCGTGCGCGCGCACACACACACACACACACACACACACACACACACACACGTGTTCAATGCGTGGACCTCACTGCAGGGGCACCAGGCTTGTTGTGTCCTTGGCTCCTGTTACTGCATCTTGGGCTCTATGGTCGGATCACGCGTCGCACTTCTCAGCCTCGGGGCGGGGGGTCTGCATGACGGGCGCGGCCCCGAGTCAGGAGAAATGAGCCCAGACGCGGCCATTTGCGGGGTGCCCTCCCTCTGAGCGGCTCTGGGCCCTGAATTTCCGTGGAGCCACCGGGGCTGATCCTGCCTGCCTCTGGGCCGGCACTGCTGACGCGTTAAAAGGCTGAGGACTGCTTTCGCGTCTTCTGGGGCAGAGGACATGGAGCCCTGTGCCACGCGGGCGTCGTGGATGCGACCCGAGCTTGTGGCTCCCGGTGGCTTTGTAACTGGTGGTGCTGGAGGGACTGCGTGTCGCTGTGAATAAGCAGCGAGAGGAGCGCAGCCCGGGAGCACTCAGCAGGCCAGAGCCCGGGCGTCCGTGGGCAGGTGCGCACTGCTGCTCGGTGGGTCCGGGTCGAGCCTCCTCCCCGCACAGTGCGCGGAGGCAGGAGCTCTGTACTGGCTGCGCCAGGCCTGCTGTGGTGGCCGGGAAAGACCCCTCCCTGCAGGCTCCCTCTCGCTGGCGGCGTGGGCGCCCCTGCAGCGCTGAGGACCCGGGCAGGGTTTTGCCTGGCGTGTTTCAGGGAACAGAAATGCTCTCAAGCAGGCGGCGGGCCGGCTGTCAGTCTCCTGTGTCTGGTGCCCATCACTGGCTCCATCTAGTAATCTGATTGGCCCGGCTGGTCTTTGGCCTCAACCCCTTGAGCCACGTGTCTCCTACTGGCCCAGTCAGGGCGGGGTCAGGGCCTCGAGCTGCTTAAGCCAACTTCTCAGCGGGCTGCAGGCTCCTCCGCCACAAGCGAAGGCGCATCGACACTGTGGTTGGGTTCTTCACTCTTTAAAAGAATCACAAACAGAACAACTAGACCCAAACTTTAACATTTGTTTGGTCTCTTCATTGTGGGTTGTTTTCATTTTCTTAATCTGAAAGCTTGATGTCATTGATTGGTCCGGTGTGTGTGTACGTGTGTACGTGTGTGTGATGTGTGTGAACACGTGTGCACACATGTGGTGATGAACTCTGTGGTACAAACCTATTGGTCTGGGAGTCAGGAAAGCGGGGGCCGGTATGGGCTCTGCCACTGGCTGTTTTCTTGACTTCTGTTCCAGTCACTTCTCCATGGAAGGTGCCAGATTTCCCGCCTATAAATGAGGAGTGTGGCCACATGCGTGGCTGCTGCCCATGGCTGCCCATTGGAAATACTAGTATCTGTGCCAGGTGCTGCCTGACTGAGTCGAATCAGAATCTCGGGGCAGGGGTGGGAGTCGGGCCCCAGCCTCCTCCTGCTTCCTTCCTTCCTTCTC